TGTCAGGACTTCATTTCTTTTTATAGCTACATAATCTGTTGTGTGTATATATCACAATTTGTTTATCCAATCATCCATTGGTGGACATGTGGGCTGTTTCCCCTTTTTGGCGAATAGCGTTGTTATGAATACGCATATACATATATTTCCTTGAGTGCCAGTTTCTTTTTTTATTCTTTTGGAATTAAAATATATCTAGGAGTAGAATTGCTGAGTCATATGGTAATTCTGTTTAACTTCTTAAGGAATCACCAAACTGCTTTCCACAGCAGTTGCACCATTTTACATTCCCACTGGCAACATACAATGGTTCCAGTTTCTCCACATCCTTGCTCATGACATGGATGAACCTTGATGACATTATGCTAAGTGAAATAAGACAGTCAAAAGGACAAATACTCTACGATCCCACTTATATGAAACAACTAAAGTAGTCAGGTTCATAGAAACGAAAAGTAAAACAGAGGTTGCCAGAGCTGGGGGGGAATTATTGTTTAATGGATATAGAGCCTTAGTTTAGCAAGATGAGAAAGTTCTGGAGACTGGTTTTACAACAGTGAGTATACTTAGCACTACTGAAATGTACACCTAAAAAAGCAAATTTTTGTTATAAGTTTTTTACCACAGTTTGAAAAAAAAAGAGTTGTCTACCCAAGGTAATGTGTAACCAACGAAGCAACTCGGGTCCCTGAGAAGCTTCGTGACCCCATGGCTTTCATGCATTCTGTCCATGATTCCCAAAGGTCACTCTTTAGTGCATGGGCACTCTGGTAGGTGAGGTCAAATTCTATTCTTGGAAAGAAAACTTAGGAACCTTGTATCTCTCTGAAGTTTACTCACCAGGTGTGTCGGCATGATCCACAGCCTTTCTGCCTTGGGGGCATCTGATAAAATCTTGGCCTGTGGAGCAAGAAGGTTTGGATCAGGCATGTTTTCTCCCTCTTCCTTCCACCCACGTTGCAGAGTTGGGCTCCGATGGCCAGAATCCAGGCAGGCCTGGGTGAGGTGTAGCTGGCCCCACTGGGCACTGGGCTTGGGAAATCTTGTGTCATCCTACCAGGCCCCCTGCAGCAGGAGCGCTGCCTGTGTAGATAGCTGGACGCATGCCGGGACCTGCTAATTACTTCTGCCTTATCTACACCTGGAATGGGGATGACCCAGAGCTGTTTCCTGCCTTCCCACCCCTCCCTCCAATCAAGCAATCCACACACACTCTGCACCTTGGTAGCAGCCTCGTTTTATGCCATCCGAGGCACGTGCAGGCACTTCTGCTCTAATGCGATGCACGTGTTCCTAAAGAACCCCACTTTCTATCATATGGCACATAAATAAATAACAGGATTTAAGGGGAAAATAGGGTTGGGGCAGACTACCACGCAATTTTAAAATCTGAACACAAACAAAAACAAATACAGTCCTAATGAAAACAGCAGCCTGGGTAAATCTCCACTGACATTTGCACCCAGCAGCTAAGGGGTTCTCACTTTCTCCTTTAAAATGAGTGTTCTTAGGCCATTCGCTTCCAGTTGAGAGCCATGTTATCACATTTTAAAACCTGATTTAGGCTGTAGTCAAAACAAACAAATACATACATATATATATATATAGAGAGAGAGAGAGAGAGAGACAGAGACAGAGACAGAGACAGAGAGAGACAGAGAGAGACAGAGAGACAGAGAGAGACAGACAGACAGAGAGAGACAGAGAGACAGAGAGACAGAGAGAGACAGAGACAGAGAGAGAGAGAGAGGGAGAGAGAGACATGTCTTCACAGCTTCTTCAAGGGTAAGAGTCCCTTCCCATTTTCCGTCCTAACAGACTTTCAGGCAAATGTTTGATGGTTACATCAGTAAGAAATGGGTTTGGCCGCAAGCGACAGAAAATGAAAAAGAGGAGTGTTTTTCTTTCATGGAAAGTCCAGGCAGTGGTCTGGGCAGGAGCAGCACTTCGAAGGGGAAGGGACCCAAGCTCCTTCCATCTCCTTGCTCTGTCCTGTGTGGCCTCAACCTTGTGGTCCAAGCTGGTGGCACCCATATTCCAGGCAGCAGGATGGCAAAAGGAACAAAGAAGAGAGAAAGGTTCTTACAAGCCAGTACGTGACACCTTCACATATGTTGCTTTAGAGAGAACTTGTCGTATGTCCCTGCCAACCGCAAGGGTGATGGGAAACCTAATCTTTCCTTTGGGCAGCCTCAGGTCCCGCCCCAAATTCTATCACTAGAAGGACTGAAACTTTAAACTTTAAAATTCCAGAACATTCCTAGTAGAGATGAGACCAAGAGTGACTTAAAGTCCTGGTATCATCTGGTCTCAGAATGATGCCGAAAACTCGGTATCTGTGCGCCAGTGCCAAATCTCGGAGAGTTTTGGAAGAAGCAGAAAAGAATGGCTTTATTGCTTTGCCAGGCAAAGGGGGACACAGTGGGCTCGTGCCCCTCACAAACTATATGTCCCAACCCGGGAGGATTTGGTGAGGAGTTTTATAGCTATAGTTCAAGGATGGGGTTGCTGATAAGATTAGGGTGTGTGCAGGGCCTGTACTCCTTTAATCTGGTCTCAGGTAATCTGATGAGCTTCTGTGGTTCCTTTAATCTGGCCTCCTGTGGTCTTCTTGAAAAGCTTCTCTGGAATGAAGAATGCTGACATCTTCCCTTTGTTGGGGGTTTTAGTTCCATAAAGAGCTTAAAGATATTGTCATGTGTATCCCTTGAGGCGAACCAGGACCTGCCCCAAGGCCGTACTATTGTTTCTTGACTGTTCCTCCCTTGTCTCTGCATCCCCTCCCCGTCCCTGATTGGCAACTGTTCAAACCTGCCCTTTGGAACTGTGGGACGGTCATGGAGGCTGGAGTCTGTTCCCTACAAACAAGAAAGGGGGGGCACAGAAAGTCTTCCGTGCCCAAGAGCACCACAGGGTCCTGCTCGGTTTCAAGAACAGCCCAGGGATTTGCTGACCTGCTTTGTGATGCTAATTCAGCAGCTTACATCAGCAGCTTTACTGGTTACATTTTCCTATACAAACCTTTTTTTTTAAAATTCTGAAAAGTTTCATTTTCAGATAGACCATTTTTATTTTTTGTTTTATTTTAAAAGTAATACAAAAGTCCTCTTAATTCCCCTTGGTGTCAATCACCTAGTTTTGACAATTTTACAACCTAAATATCTCTCGGATGCATTTGCTTCTCTAATCTCTGCCACCACGCAGGTCCAAGTCACTGGCATATTTCACTTGCTCTTCAGCAAAGAACACCTCCCTCTCCTCTTCCCCAAATCCATTGGTCTCTTGTCCCCTCATCAGTTCTCCTCTAGGCAGCCACAGTAAACTTTTCAAAACACAAATCTGGTCACCCTCCACCCTCTAATGCCTTCTTTCTGCTCCTAGGACAAAAACGAAGCTCCTTCACATGGTCTATAAGTGCTAAATATAGTCTGGCCCTGCCTACCTCCCCAGCCTCCTCCTCCATCCAGCCTTCCTTTCTCCTTTGTGCTCTTCAGCTACACTGATTGCAATTTCTCTTGTACCACAGGGCCTTGGCATATACTCTTCCCTATCTGGAAGGCTCTCTCCACCACCCCATCCCCACCCCACCCCCCTTTGCTTAGGTAAGCTCTATTCATCCTTCCTTCCCATCTCAGCTCAAGCTCACTTTTTTAGGAAAGCCTTCCCTGACCAGCCCCCCAACCCCCTTCTTTAGAGTTCTTTTATAGTTATAAATTCATCAGTGTATTTATCTGACTAAATTCTGCTTCCTTAACTGGAGTCTAAGCTGCTTGAGGACAAGGCTTTTTTTTTTTTTTTTTTTTTTTTT